GTAACGTCTATCTGAGTGAAACGGCATCTGAAATGAGAGGGCGGGACTTGATTTCGTCCTTCGGGAATTGATTGGATCATTGGAAGTTGGGGCGTTGCTAACAAAATGGAGGTATATCTGAATGCCAGTTTGCAGTTAGTTGTGGGGGGATTTCTCTCCACTGGATTCACTGCCGACACCCTAGCATGAAGAATTTTTTTATTTATTGATGAAGACGACGACGAGGATGATCAATGGCACAAAACATGCCTAAATAGCTTTTTCCAATATGGCTTTTATTTTTTTATTATTTTTTTAATAATTAAATTTAATAATAATTTTTTAGGTAATTGTTTCAGAAACTAAACATTTAGAATAAAAATAATTGGTAATAATTATTATTATTTACTGTTTTTGCTGCCCGACCTTCCTGGAGACTTTCATTTGTAAAGAGCTAATTGGTTACAGTTGTAATTTTAGATAGCCCACAGCTCATTCAGTAAAGTGCACATGTTTTGTGTGATGCAATAGACAACTAAATACTGATAAAGGGAGCCATCGGTTCAGAGAGTTTGCTCTGCTTATCTCATGTCTTATCTTGCTGCTTTTTGTAAATAAAAACATCTTTTTGGGAAAAGGTTGAGGGGCCGAGGGATAGTACACTTGTCTCTTAACCTACTTTTGCCCATGCTTTATCTTTTCCCTTTTTTTGTTTGTTTGTTAAATTGTTATTCTATTTGGGTACCTTGTTTGTTTAATGTTCCTAGTTTCTTGTTCCCATTAACAAAACCATAGCAGTAATTTTCCACTGAAATATTGGTGCATGTTCACTTGCCATATGAGTGAAAGTTCACTCGTCCAGGCTGAGGTGTTAATTTCAAATGGTTGGTCTGGAGAAGCGTTCACTTTAATTCAGGAGGAGTGATGTACTGCGTTGCCTGGTGTCAGGATGAGTGGTTCACAACAACATCAGAGTGATTTAAGAGGCTCCAGTTGCTGAACTGTTACTTGGGTCTTGGTCTTGCCTTAAACTGAATATCTGGTATAGTGAAGAAGTACAAGAAACTTTGGATTTCTGCATTACAAGGACTAGTGCAGAATCTACAAATTCTAAAAATGTCCATGTGCTGGATTTTGAATATTGTTGTAGTAAAACAGAAGGATTGAATGTGGGAAGTTTTCACAGTGTCTAACCAATCCAGAATGTGGACTATAACAGTTTGTAAGCTGATGTAGGCTATAGGTTAATTTGGTAAACCATTGTTGTTTTCTAGAAGCTTATGGTTCTGTACCCATCTGTACTGTAACCCTTTGTTTTAGCTATTTGCTGAAAATACTAAGTCTTCTCATCTTAGTTTACAATTTAAGCATCCTCTACATCACTTCTCGGAATAATCGTAATATCAGACTTTAAAGTCCAACATAAACTCCAGCCACACTCCCAGCCAGCAAATGTGCAGTGTAATCAGCGGTTATGAAATGATTGTTTTAAAGAGAGAACAACACGTTTGGGGGCTAATAGCTGCTTTTCCCCCTCTTCCTCCCTCCTTCTCCCTGTCACATGTTCCTTTCACAGCATAGAAAAGTTCCTGGATTAACGCAGAATTAGCACAAAGCAGAGACGCCACCTCAGCCCAACGTTGCAACTAGCAGAGAGAGGAAACGATTGAGGGAGAAGCAGTGTGCACCAGAAACTAAGACACATACCCCAGCAGCTCAAGACGAGTTCCAGAGAGCACAGAGACAGGCCAGGACGGGCATCCTTCCGGAAAGGGGACCCACGCCGAAGAGAGCTTCAAAAGCATGGCGGAAAAACAATTTTCTGGCATATTGGTGAGTCACTCAAACTTGCATTTTGTAACTTTTATAGAAATGTTTCCTTTTTCTCCATGCCCAGGTTTTCACAGCTATAATTTTAGATTTGATATTTTTGAAAGTTATTTTAATCTTGTATTATGTGTATTTCTTAGTAACATGATCTGGCATTTTTTATTGTCTGATTAAAAGTTAGTAATCAAGCAGGTCAAAGCATTTTGGATCAGGCCACAGTTCTAAAAAACTTAATTGTTTCAAAGAGCTGAACTAAAAGAAATGATTACACCTTAAACCGAATTACAGGGTTTTTTCCTACTTACAGCTTTTATAATAAAGACTCTCAGGAGTAGTGTGAAATGCCCTGACAGCTCATAGATATCTTTAACTAATGATTAGGAGAATATAAAGAAATTGGATGAATTTAACAGAGGAGATGGTATAATTTAGGGAAGAAAAAAAGCACTTTTCACAATGCTTTGTCATTTTATGAACCCTCGCGGCTATATTGTGTTGTAAGAAATGTCTTATAATCCACTGCTTCGTTAATGGATTTAAATAAATTAAGAAATTTTTCCAAATGACTGTGAAAGCAATTTAAACCTGGATTTTAAAACTGTACATGTCTTCTTGAGTTTTCAAACCCTGATGACTTTATTAACCATTGCTGTGCTGAGAGTACACACATCTGGCAGTGTGAACTGATCTAAAGTGTTTGATGCGAGACCACAATGCAAGAGTGACAGTCAAGGATGTATGACATCTTCTAAATAGATGTGTCAACCGTGGCATAATACTTAAAGTTTTTCAAAAGAAAGAATAAAATAAATTCAATTTCAGTAAAATAAAAAATTACTTATGATTTTTGATGTGATTATAGCTACATTTGCAACATTGGATTTTACTTTAAGATATATTATTGTTATTCTTAAGTGTTTCTAATTGCACATTTTCTGAAGGGTGACATGTTTGTCTGAAGTGTCAGTGGTTTGTGTGGAGTTGCTGCGTGGCTGGGCTTTTGTTCGGGGTGAGTGATGCTGTAGTCTCTTGTGTGACTGTAACTGGGTAGTGTGTTTCTGGTTCTGAGCTGTGCTGCCTGTAACTGTACAGAAATAGTATTTCTCCATTTAAACCAGTCTTGTTTTTAAATTTTTAAAAGCTGTGTCACTTGATTGCATAAAATGAGACTTATGACAGAACGTTCTGGTAATATTTTAAATTTAATTATAATATCAAAAATAAGGATTACAATATTCCACAATTGGACTATTTACAACATAATCCCTCCTAAATTCTGTCCCAAATGCCTTTCAGAATCATGGTTAGATAGAATGGATATGGAAGTCCATATGAGGAATATGTAGTAAATAGGTCGTAAAGCTAAGGGAAACTGTTGCAGGGGTCCTATATTAAATAAACCTTTGTGGTCCATCCCCACCTTTATCCTCCCCTCGTGTGATTGGTTACAGTGGTTGTAATATTATGGCTCCTGTCCTGTGTATCTCTGTGTTCTTCTAACTGTATTGTCTTCTACTTTTAGCCTTGTACTGTGTCCTGTACATTTTGTACGTCTAAACATGTGTATTTATTTTTGTGAATGAGCATCTTGCAGATGGAATACATTTGATATTTAAATCACAATTATGGTAAAATTGCCATTATTTTTCATCGGATATGATTTTTTTTTGTCACATTAAGTTAATCTTAAAAATCTTAATTTAATTTAATTTTTCATAATTTTTTTTTCTTTCAAGTTTGCAGATTTTTATGTTGTATACAATGCCGTCCAAATGCCAGATTGCTTTGCCCCCCCATAGAGAGTTGCATTAACATTCTGCCTTTTAGACTTTTTCAGCACCTTACCCCTTTTTTTTTTTTTTTTTTTTTTGTGGTGAGATGTGCTTTCGGAGGTCAGTGGCATCAATGTGTTGTTCGCAATGTTGTGGGGAGTACAGAGGTTTGGTTTGTTCTCAGGAAGGGAAATAAGATTTTGACCGGCACATTTGTTTACTCATCACTCTAAATGACTTTTACAGATTGCACCTCATTGGACACAAATAGTTTTGCTTAATGTACAATATCTGACCAAGTGGAAGTACCCTGATAGATGGTTTTTGTGTACTGTCAAAAGGCACGAAGCTTGCTTTAGTGCTTTGAATGGCATTAAGTCCTCTTTGTCTCTGACAGAAGCTGTTCTGCTTTAAGAATATCCTGACGTTTTGACTAAGATAATGACAGCGTAAAGCCCATTGTTACCCTCTGACAGTGACAGTAGAGAATGTTAGCGCTGTGGTAACCCAAAACATAATTAGAGACGAGTAGAATGACATAAGAGGAATTAATGCTGGAGCTGTCAGACATTCAGAAGCAGTTGCGGAGGAACTGTTGAAGGAGCTGTGATGACCGTTTGCTGTACTCGCTGCTTCTTCTGTCCCGCTGGCAGCTCTCCACCCTTTCCCAAGGGTTGTTAATGTGTGCTGCTGTCTGTGAATTTGAAATGAAACGGAAACAAATTTTGGATCCCGTTGTCCCTCAGGATGCTGGGCTACTGCTGCATGTTTTCACTCTGCTTTGTGGGCTCTCAAACATTTCGGTCAATTAATTAGCATTAAACAAAATAAACAACAGTAAATTACATAGATACATTTTCTTTCTGTTATTCAGAATGTCTAAGGACCCTAGTGAGCTGTTTCACTGTCACATGACATTCTAAATCAGCTAAAATGGAACCTCTGACTTATATTTAAAATTGAAAAAAGTGACTGATTTGAAATACTTCACATAAGGAGCAGCTGGTTAATGGTGACTAATGTGCACCTCTGCAGCATTCCTCACGTGAAGTGCATGAGACACAGTTGATTCCTATAGAGTTCTGTGTTCTAATACATGTTGCTATTCTGCTAAGCTTGCATTAGTTTTAATGAGCACAAAAATACATAGCAAATGCATGTATATTGGGTGAAATGGTAAATATTTAATTAGACAACTATTTTTTCTGTACATTTCAGTATTTAACATGATTATTGTAATTATTTTCAATCCATTAATATTTTCCTTAAACTTGAAGCAGTGCATTTTGGGATTGCCTTTTCTGTGAAGGATAACCTTTGGAATAGCACACTACCATGCTACTCTTGCTATTTTTGCAATATACATTAGACATAAATATTAAGACTGTTTCCAACACTGCATTAGATTTTAGCCAGAACATGGTGGCAGCTATAAATAACACAATTTAAAGGGATTATGCACTCAAAAATGAAAATTGTCATCATTTACTCATGTTGTTCCAAACCTGTATGACTTTTTCTTTTGAAGAACACCTGGAACCCAACAACACTGGAGCACATTGACCACCATTGTATGAAAAAATAAAATAAAATACTGAGACTTTACTCAAAATGTCTTCAGTTTCAAAGAAGAGACAGAGTGATACAGTTTAGGAACAACCTAAGAGTAGTGAAATTGTACTCTTTTAGTGAACTGTCCCTTTAACACACCTATGCCTAACTTACTAGCATTTGGTAGAGCCTATATTTTAGTGAATCTCTTTATGAGATGTCACATCATTTTTAATGAAATGTCCTTTATTAAAAATGATTCTTTCGTTAATAATCCAAAGTCTCATTAATAGGTGATGGACATCAAGTTCAAGGCCTAGGTCAGCAGCACTTATGTAAGGAACATATTGAACTGTCACTCACTCACATTAACTACAGCGTACACATCTTTGTAGCTGTGCAACCGTAGTGCCTTCAGGGGCTTGGGAACAGATGTGGTTGAGCAAAGGGGAAGTCAAACATGATTTCTGTCTATGTTTGAGGCGCAGACTGTACTGTCTGTGGAGCGTACCGAGCCCACAGAGAAGGCAGCCACCGTGGAGTATGCACAATTGGAGGACAAGGGCCACCAAATGCTAAACACGTCCACTGCTGCGATTCCTTTAAAAAAACACTCCCCTCCGCTAAAAGGGCCCATTGAGCCTCAGCCTTTAGATTTCATTTGAAGTAACCACTCAGGCTGAAAATTTCGTTTTTCTGTTTCTTCCTCTCGCCTTTATATATGAGGTACCCCTATTCTACCCAGGCTAAACACAAATACTGACCAAGAAAGAGCCACTTTTTCTCCTCGCTAGCTGAAATTATGGACCGCAGTTTAGCATTGTGTTCCACCCACCTGGCTTCCTAAATCTTCTTTTATTAATATTATTTTTAACGGTTGAATTGAAGTCCCTCAAAGCCTTTTCAGCCCATATTTAGGTAATTTGTTGCGCTTGAACCCGACCTGCTCCCCCCATGGCGTTGTGAATGGGAGAAAAAGGCATGGGATGAGGGGGGGTCTGCTGTTCTCAGGGTTTCTCCACAGAAACAGCCCCTTGACCTATTATATCATTTTGAAGCTCTCCATGTTGAAAGATCACAGCAACACAACCCTTGCTTTTGTATTGACCAGTTCGTGCATTAAATTAAGTGCCAGGAAATAATAAATAATTTATAAATAATAAATTCAGAGAAAACACAATTTCAAACGCACAGAATTTGACACAGGAATCAGAGTGTTGTAGTATTCCAAGCTTGTGTGTGTTTGTGACCTGCTAACGTGACGTAGGTAGTTATAAATTGTCATACCAATCTCTTTTTGTGCTGTTTGAAATGGCAAATAATGAAAATTAGTACATATGTAACGTTCTGTAACGTGACCTCTGTGTGCGAGTAAATGGACCTCACTGCATGCCTCTTATGTACTCCTGATAGAAAGCCTCCCTCCAATGTCAGAGAGCCTATTAATAGTTTATTTTGTTTGCTAAGAAAAAGGGCCTCCACCCCACAGACATCGTGTAAACTCAGATTTTCAACTGTTTGTCAAAACATAGATGGCCCCATTACAAGACATTCCTTGTATTTTCAACTTATAGAATAAACTTTTCTACTTCTCTTTTTTTCTCAACCTCAACCACAGTTTGACATTCCAGTTGTCACTTTTCTAATTGGCCGATTGTTGAATCCACGCGAGGCGAGTCA